AAGACTTGGACATGAATTTCGACTAAAAAATCGGTGTTCAGATTTGAATGCCAGATTAATCTAGAGGGAAAACCATGAAGAAAAAGCAAAACTTCGTGAAAATCGGATGAGATTTGGCCGAGATATGGGGGTGGTAATTTTTGACCCATGTCTATATACGAATCTTGGGGTAAGATTTGGACATGAATTTCGACTAAAAAATCGGTGTTCAGATTTGAATGCCAGATTAATCTAGAGGGAAAACCATGAAGAAAAAGCCAAACTTCGTGAAAATCGGATGAGATTTGACCGAGATATGGGGGTGGTAATTTTTTACCCATGTCTACATACGAATCTTGGGGTAGGATTTGGACATGAATTTCGACTAAAAAATCGGTGTCGAGATTTGAATGCCAGATTAATCTAGAGGGAAAACCATAAAGAAAAAGCCAAACTTCGTGAAAATCGGATGAGATTTGGCCGAGATATGGGGGTGGTAATTTTTGACCCATGTCTACATACGAATCTTGGGGTAAGATTTGGACATGAATTTCGACTAAAAAATCGGTGTTCAGATTTGAATGCCACATTAATCTAGAGGGAAAACCATGAAGAAAAAGCCAAACTTCGTGAAAATCGGATGAGATTTGGCCGAGATATGGGGGTGGTAATTTTTGACCCATGTCTACATACGAATCTTGGGGTAGGATTTGGACATGAATTTCGACTAAAAAATCGGTGTTCAGATTTGAATGCCAGATTAATCTAGAGGGAAAACCATGAAGAAAAAGTCAAACTACGGGAAAATCGGATGAGATTTGACCGAGTTATGGGGGTGGTAATTGTTGACCCATGTCTATATACGAATCTTGGGGTAAGGTTTGGACATGAATTTCGACTAAAAATCGATGTTCAGATTCAAATGCCAGATTAATCTAGAGGGAAAACCATGAAGAAAAATCCTATATCATATATATATTCTATTTTAGAAGCTATATGTCAAGTTTGGTGACTCTAGCTCTTATTATTTACCAAAATTGACCAAAGACAGGATATCGATATCGATTTTTATCGATTGCTTGGAAACGGAGTAAGTTATCGATTATCGGAAACAAACTCGATCTGCGCGGGAGCTAGGAGCATCTACATCTAAAATTTCAAGTCTCTAGCTCTTATAGGTTCGGAGATCCTTGGATTAATACGAATGTAAGAAGAAAAATGCCTTTTATTATAAATATTCAAGTGCCCGCGCTTCATTTATAAACTATTTAACTAGAGTGGCAGGATTTAACTTGAAACAAGACAATTCACTAGAATACTGTTTACTATCAACTTGGCCGCTGATAGCCACGCTGTACGTTAACCAAAGTCACGGCTACTGTTTCCTTCGTGCTCGTAAGCCAGTAAAGAGACGCGTGGGTGCTTTAATGCGTTCGTGGATGGGGTTGGAAATTGTGATGCTGTTTTGCGCTGATTTAGCAGTAATTCAAATTTAATGACAAGACGCGAAAGGTGGGATAATTCAACTCACACACACACACCCACACACCCACACACTACTACTGACATACACAAAAGAAAGATAAAACAAATGGCAAAAGATGCTTTAAAAAAGATAAAATAACGTTGCGTCAATAATGTGAACCAGCTAACAAAATCAATAACAATAAGATTCTCCACAAGACATGCAACAGTTGAGGGTGTATAATCATGCGTGTAAGTATGCGTGTGTGTGTGTAAGTGTGTGTGTGTGTGTGTGTGTGTGTGTGTATGAGCAAAGCGTGGGCGTTTTACTTGTATCTGAAAACTGTTAATGGCAGACGACGTCATAAGAAATTATCTAAAAACAGAATCAAATGGCGACTGCACAAATATGTGAGAGAAGTGAGGAAAATTCTAATTAAACGGTTGAATTGAAGGGCTGAAAAGGGCGAAAGGGCTTATGGCCAACGCTCAAACGCGCGAAACAATAACGAAATATAATGTAAATGAATGCCGAAGGCAGAGCCAGTCGGGGCTCATGTTGGGTTCTGGCATATTCATGTAAAAAATGCAAATGTTAATTACAAGCGGCCCCAAATAAGAGCTGTGCGCGTTATGCATATCTAATGCCAGGCGGGCTATGTGTGTGTGTGTGGGTGTGCGGGTGTTTAGGCATGTGGATGCTTATGAGCTGTTCGATGAACACCAGATGAAAATTGAACTGAAATGTATGCAAGATTATGGTTTTGCATATAGGTTTCATAGAAAAATTTACCTTTTTGTTGGTAATTGTTTATGTTGTTGCAGTTAAGTTAGAGCAATAACGTAGAGAGATTTAGAAAGAGATGGAAAGACATAAACAGAGATAGCAATAAATGTACAATTATAAAAAATATCAATTCTGAACACACACACAGAAAAGGCAACGCAGCTAAGCAAATGCTCAACAATTGCTTTGATCGCTTCAAGGCACGCTAAAATGTTGGGGAGCACATTAATTAATAAATACAGCACATAAATGTCACGTGTATATTAATATAGCAATTAAAGTATTTAATTCATCAGTCAGTTTGCACAGTTTGGCATATTTACCCATGTTAAGTAAACGTGCGCTGCTTGGTATGCTACGATTTCTGCGATGGCTTTCAGTGGCGCCTCATTAAAATCAAGTTGTGGTTGTTCTTGTTGCTGTTGTTGTTGTTGTTGTTGTTGTTGTAGTTTAGTATATTATTTTAACATTTTCGATGTTCGTATCAGCTGTATGTAGTTGTTGTAGTTGTAGTTGTTGTTGTTTTCGTGGCCTATTATTAGTATGGTTCACACAATATATACATAGATATAATACATAAATACAGAAGTTTGTTACGAGTTTCTATGTAAATGACACATGCTGATATTAATGTTATATAACATCCCTTGGACCCAGTATACAACAGGCACACACACACACTCTCTAGCTCGCTCTACAAAATGCAGCATTGTTAAAGATATTAGAAAATGTTTAATTCGTTTTCTTTAAAAAAATGAAACACAAAAAACTGGTAGCACTCACAAAGAGGTAGTCAAAACCTTGACAACAGCTAAAGCTGCGCCAGTTTTATAGTTGGCCCATGGGCTTGGATTAGGTAAGAGGACGACATCGCATTCGCAGTCGTTGTTGCCGTGCCATTGTGTGACTTTTGCACTGTCGTTCATCGATTCTTTTCTGCTAACTGGCGTCTTGACCCACTTTTTGTTTTGGCGAAGCCGAAACGTCAGCAATAGCAACAAGAAATGCTCGCAGGCAACTAACTTTACATCACATTTCAGCTTAAGTTCACAATTTTTACTGCCAAAAAAAGATGAGAGTTGAGCCTTGCCTTGCAGGTGACCGAAGAAAAAGTCAACGAAGCGCAGAGCCAGAAAAGGTTTGACATTGACTTTGGTACAAACAGTTCTTAAAGGCTCATCGGAAGATTTGAGGAGATGTAAATTATCAATTTGATTTGAAATTATAAATAATTTGAATAGCTTCACATGCGCAATATTTGCTCAATTCGTTAACTGTATACGACTTCTTGTTGGTTAAAACCATTCACTGTTACGCAATATTTTCCACATTACTAAAAAGTAACTAAGCTAGTGACTGCTTTTGTCCACTGTGATGAATTTTTAAAAGTGTGTGTGCATGTTGTGAATCACAAGAAATCGGATACGCCTTGAATGCGACAGGCCATACACACCAACATGCTCAGTCATATCTATTTGTGGGCAGTTCATTTGCATAAGTGACCCCGTCTCCGAGGGTGTGGGTGTGTGAGAGGAGGACTCAAACAATATCAATAGTCAGCAATATACTTTCAATAGCGCTAAGGGAAATAGGCATAGGCCGCTGAAATGGCGCGCGCCCTCGACCAGTTAACGGAAGTCGGCTCGATAAAAGAAACTTTGGCTTGACATACTTTTAGGCGCTGCATTAAAATGGGCCCCGCAGTTGCAATTATTGCATTCTTCCGGTCGATCGATAATATTGCGTTATTCAACTAATCGTCAGCACAACAACAACACAAACGCGCACATAACTATAGACAATGGAGATTGTGCTTTATCTGAATGCAATTATTTGTGCCTTTTCAAATAATAAAAGTATATACTGCAATTAAATTAAAAAGCACAACTAGCTTCGCACGTGTGCGTGCTTTTATCGAATGCTGCCGCTGTGGCTGCTGCCGTCGACGTCGGTCGATCTAACACTGTTTTATGTGGTATACGAATATCAAGGGTAATGCTTAGCAGCCACACAAAACGAGCCCACACAATGACGACGCCAACAACTGGCAGGCGACTGTGGCAGCGCACTGATATAAAAACATAGATAAAAGAGGCAAAATACTTGCGGAGGCCAAGCTCAACAGCAGCAGTGACATCTACACGTGCCAGCCCTCTCACATGCATTTATACATATAGAAACGCATTGGAAGCTACTCGTAGTAGGAGCTGTGTATGTGTGTGCTTGCGTGTGCGTATGTGTGTGCTGCACGTCAGACAGTCTCTAAGAGCCCGCCAGTGAGTTGTTTTCATGTTCACTCGCTTGGCATTGTGTCGTCATCAACCCCCAGCGTGGACGCACACACACGCCAATGCAATCACCCACACATGTATGTATATACATGCGTAGGCTTACCTGCCTACCACACACACAGGCACACACACGAAAGCTACATTCATTCAATGAACTTAACCAACACACATACACAGACACGCACACACACATATATATATATATATATATATATATATCCACATATATAAATATATATCCATATATAACACATACATGCGCGCTGCGTGTAGTTAATTTCCTTCAGCTTTGCTTTCTGTTCTCCGCACTAACGACGCACACAGCTGAGAGTTCCGCACTTGACTGATTTGGGTTTGCTTTGGAGCCGCACTGCTTACCCGGAGGCCAGAAGGCCAGCTGTCGGTCATGCGCACTGCGTCCGTACACAGTCGTAGCTCGACAGCTGTTTACACTGTACGAAAGCCGGAGTGCTACTTACGAGTCTCCACAACGAGTATGGCAGTGACAAATTCGCACAGCACCTCCTGGTGTCGTTGTAGACGATCCCTTACAACCAGCACGCGTTCCAGCAGATAACCCATCATCAATAACTCCACCTTAAGCATGGCACAGACATCCACCAGCTGGCGCACGTTCAGCGTCTCCAAGACTTTCTGATTTCCAGCCAGGCTGCTAGCCATTCTAGCCACAGGTCCCTTCTTGGTCGATCTTCTGCAATGACGTTGCTCCTTGGAGACGCGTCTATCCTGACCCTTCTGACGACGGCAGCGACGCAGACGTCTGGCTTGCTGCTCTTGCTGGCCATAAATGTCGCATAGCAATGCACTGAGTAGAGTTTTGGTCTCGCTGTGGTTCCCTCAATTGTGTTAATTCTTATCTTGGCCACATGTTAATTTCGAAGCTCACCTCATTTCGGTGGCCCACTGATAGGACACAGCGGTGGGTAGTTGATTGTTGACTCTTGTTAACAGGCTGTTTTTAGCTTTGTTTTCTTATATTTTGGGTTTTTTTATGCAAAATATATAAAAATAAAAAATAAATTAACATAGTAATCAAAGCCAAGTATGAGCTGCTTATATTATTTAAATGTGATTTAATTTTGCCACATTTGTCGGTAGCTTGCACATCAGTTCATTTATCTGATTAATTCGAAAAGGTTATTGTGTACATTGGCTTTTAGGTTTACTCCGACAGATAAACATCTTCGAAACTTAATTGAGAGTAGCCTGGATCAATTCAATTAAATGAACTTTGCTTTAAAGTATGCCTACATATTTGTATTATTTTACAAGCACTTCACGCACTCCAATTCAATTAAAATATACAATACTTATTTTTAAAGTTTCATAAATTTTTTATTTAACTGCTTTATGCTGTGCAACTAAGTACGTGTATAAGATCTAAATGTTCTGATTATAGCCAGAGATAATTTTGTGACAGACGTTTCATGCCTTACAACAAAACCCGGAAGTGGTACAAAATTTAAAAGATGTCAAACATATATATGCATGCTGGCATGTAACTCAACACAAACAAAAAAGTTGAACGTCCTTGGTCTCAGTAGAATGTGCGATCCATATGCGTATTCAGCGAGAAATTTCGATACATTCCAAAGCGCACGACATCATTGGAGAATTTCTGGGAGAGTGGAAAGAAACGCTTAGGTATGGTATAAGCATTGGGCGCATAATAGCCATATTCGGAGTTGCATGTGCGATACATGGTATTGGTGTCCTTTTCCACGCCATAGCCCTTGAAGTTGTCTGCAAGCCGAGCGAAGAGATTAGAGATGAATGCACGAGATGTAATCAATATGGTTGGTTACTTACAGGGACATTTGATGTCCTCGCGCTTGTGCAGATTCTCATAAAGCTTGGCTGTCTGCACCACTGGCTTACGTTTAATAAATTTTAGAAATTCTACTTCGGGATTGAAGGTCTCCAAATCATCACAGAAATTGTCGCACATTTTGATTTAAATTCGCGCTACTTTTAATAAATATAAAATTTGAGCTCTGAGTTGTGTTCGTTAAATTGTTAACTGCGCTACAATTCGAGCTTATCGAACAAATAGTTCACTTGGGCAAAGGTTGCTTGGTTACGAGATTCGACAGTGAAAGGGTATTTGAAACTGACGTAAAGAAGCGCCATTCCAAAGCCATCTGCCGATGACGCCTGCGCCCTATGCACTGTCAGTTTGACAGATGATGCTGAGTTAACCCTGTAAAAAACATATACACAAATTACCAAATAGCTTGTTTGGTCTGCCCTATGCACAAAATGTACAATTTGTCCAATGTGCTTAACTTTATAATATGCATGGCGAGCTTCAGCCAATCATTCGATGGCACCTTGGCGGTTAAACGGGGACCGCATCATCCGCGAGGCGAGACCCGACGCGTGGACCAGCATCTAACACACGAGGAGCAGTGAGTTCAAGGGGGGTTGTGCGTGCTAATTTGATAAATATTTGTATTTTTTAACGCTCAATGCACAGCCGCATCGATGATGATCTTAGGGACATGGGTATACAGGCGAGCTTGGATGATATGAGCGAGGAGGAAAAGATATTCTACATGTTTAAGGTGCGTAGCTCTCATTAAGAAGTTCATTGCCGTATATCTGATACACACTCACACACATACACACGTACATAGGCTCACGACAATGATAACAACAATGCCCTGGATGGTCTTGAGATGATACAATCGGCCATGCATCATAATTATGATTACTTCAAGAACAGCGAACGCGACGATTACCTGCCAAATGCAAGCGAAGACCTAGATCATTTTATAGGTAAGATATCTTATGAAATATACTTATATATATGAGTTGAGGTATATTCAACGATTTAATAGAGGCCATTGACAAGTTTCTACTGATTGCGGATGATAACAACGATGGGCTGCTGCACTATCCGGAGTTTGTGAAGGCCGTTACCGGCGGCAAGGAGCAGTTGGCCCTGGAGAGAAATTTGCTGCGCTGAACTAAATGCAAGATACCTCATCTGGACACAATAATAGATATAGCTTAGTTAAATTCTAGCATTTAGCATATGTATTTCCATGTTGAGCCAATGAGACTGTACAGAATCCACATACACACACATGAACACATTTAAACATATACACTCTAGCCGCAGCCTAAAGCAATACTACAATATCACTATATAAATACATTTTTCATTTGTACTACAATACATAAACACGAGTATGATAAACAGCAAACAAACAGGCAGGCATCAATGCCCTGGCTATAAGAGGCCATCGCAGGATTGGGTGGTGTTGCAGCTGGCTCCTCGATAGCCATCGTAGGCGGCGCGCTCCATCAGCACAATGAGATCATTATAGCGCGGCTTCTCCAAGGGTACGCTTTGAATTGTTATTCATACATAAATGCTTGGTATGGAAAATATATTTAAATATGTATGCTTAGCTCACCCCTTGAATATTTGAATGGCGCCCAGCAGCGCACGGGCCGCCTTGGCGTACTCATAGGCTGCGTTTGGACATGCACAGGCTGCGGCATACAGGCAGTCGTCTTGGCCGGCTCCCTGGGCAGCTAAGAAACCCATTATAAGATAGTCATCGCCGGAGGTGATACCCAGGCCATAGGTGACGTCTATGCGGGAAGCGGAACGTGCATAGCCATGGCCATAGCCGCTCCAGTGGCCCGCTCCCAGTAGTCCAGCCGAAAAGATCAGCACCTTAAGCAGCACAATAATCAGCAAATTGGTCAGATTCAAGCTGAGCACCTGTGAATAGCTGACACATGCAGTAATTATGTCTCGGTTGTAATATGCAAATATGCACGCACTTGACTATTTCCCGCTGAGCGATGCAGCAGCTCTTTGGCCACCTGTACAACAACATGACCCGCCGGGCTGGCGAACATATCCTGAGCGCTCCTTAGCCACGATAGCGGTCGTATTTCAATCTGGCTGTCATTCAGTATATTGGCTGAACTCTCCAACGGCTGCAGCTGGAGGCTTACGCTGGCTGCCTGACAGCAGCCCAGGACTGCCAGCAATGTCAGGGACAACCAAAGTGTTGTTGCATAACTCCAGTTGGCTTGCGTTTTGTTTATTGTTGTTGCTGTCATTGTGGAAGATCGCGTGCGCATTGTTGTTGTTTTGAGGTGTTTTTTCGTCAGTTGGCGCGTCGTGACTGGTCCGGGGCATGGCAAGTGCCTGGTTTTTATCTGTCGCACATCTGCCGACCAAAATTGTTCCGCCCATACAGGTAGCTAGCTGCACAGGCAAGGCCAGAAACGCAAGTCTAGGCCCATGGAGACATTGCATGTTTATGTTGTGCCTCGCTGCACCATAAAAGAGAGCACGAAGAGATTACCGGCAAGAGACATCGATGCAGCGAAAGATCGAGTGTTTTCCTGGTGTCATTAGCCTAAAATTGGCCAGACAGTTTTCCACTTCAAGGATTCGCACCTGCAACCGGCTTACCTGTGCTATTCTCTCGCCAATGTCAAATATTTCCAGGTAAACGCACGCGAAATTGAGCGTGGAATAGTCCCAGCTTAAGTCAAGTAGCACACATTTAGTTATTTATAATTTTTTTTTGTATCAATCAACTCTTTTATTGTTACTTGGGTTTCTGTTGTTGCTGTATTGCCGTTGGAACAGTTGGAAATTATTTATGGAATGAATAATGAATATTAATGCATAATACTTTTACATATAGATTCGCAGTAAATTTGTTTGTTTTCCAAATGTTATTAATGTATTTGTAGATGCTTAATGAGCACGTTTAATTCAATTCATGTAAATTTTCATTTTCAAAATTTCGATTTTCATATGCAATTACAGACAACATACAAGTACATAATAGGTATATAAGTAAGCGTGTATATATGTAGATACTTCTTTACTATACTTTCACAATAATACGAGTATTTATTTTGTATATTATTTTTCAACATATGTAGTATGTATAAGAATTATGTATGTATTTTATAATATATGTTCTTTTGTTATTTAATATTTTTGTTTGTGTTTTCGTTTACTTTTGTGTTTCTTGTGTACTCTTGTAATATTTCAGCACTGGTTTCATTCATTATGCGCTCCATGATATTATCTAATGTGATATATGTTAGTTAGCACGATACGTGAATGGGTAAAGCCTTTATGCATGTAGGTATGACTCTGTGTCTGTGTCTGTGCCTGTGTGTTTACCTTCTGGTCTACATTTGTGTAAATACATGTTCATAAAAACAATTGAGTATGATTTAATATGTGCCAGTTGTCGTTATATTAGGTATTTGAGTTGATTCAAATGATGATGTTTGGGTTACGAATGTTGCGAAGAACATGTAATCAATGATAAAAATATGTAATGTATGATGTTAGCTTTGGTGCATAATTATGAGCACAAATGAAGCTCAGAGTTATTCGTAAATGTTTTTAAAATTAACAAGAACCTCTTGTAAACGTTATTATTAAATTCGTAATATGTATTCAAAGAACTGTTCGCTTTTGTAAAACACTACTAAAATTTGAGAGTTTTAATGAATGGAAATCGTTCTGAATTGTAAAGCTTATATTAAAAAGGGCTTGGCTAAAAATATAAAAATATGTCTATCGTTTCAATTGTATATATTTTAACTAAATAATTTAACTGCTATTTTTTTAAAATTTAAAATATATATTTGAATTATTTTGTTGGGTGGCTCGAGGTTCGCCTCACAAAATAATTAAAAACTGGAAAGGTCGCCAAAACCAACACTAAAATATATATTTCTAAAAGTTTTGAACATACAACCCAAGCTAAAAGTTGGTTTAACTATTTTCGCGATATGTAACAACAAAATCCATCTAAATATTTTTCTATTGTTAAAAATAATGCTTAAACATGTGCGTAACAAAATGAATAAAACATTTACTGCTAAAGCATACTCTTCAGTTAATACTGCAATAAGCTTGTTCGCATATACATATGCATTATATAACATTTTCGTTGTTGCCTTCAACATTCACGAGTTTTCAATATTATAGAAAATTTGCCTGCCTCTGTTCTTTCAATCCATTAACAATTCGGTGCCACATAATGTGTAAGTAGCCATATAAATGTGTACTATTGCCTCGAAGCATCCTTTGAAATATCCTTATGTTCTGCTCTCGTATTTTGTTCATTTGTTTTAATGTAACATTGCTTGGTTCGCAGCTGGTATTAGGCCCTTCGGTAGTTTGTTGAATAGTTTGCCTTTATGGGTTAGCCCAATATCATAGACGAATATGTTTGTATGTGTGTATAAACATTAACTACTAATATAAGTACTGTATAATAATATTTGTGGGCATATAATAAACATTTAATTTGTGTGTAATAGCCTTTGTGTATGCCTTGGTATGTAACATTTGCTCATATATAATTATTTTGAAATAAGTACATATATACGTTTGTATATATTTATATTAATAACCATCGTTTGCATTATAAACATTTAGTATATTAGTTGAAGATTCTTTTTCTTTTTATATTGTCTTTTATCTAAGCACACGAATCCAACGAAATTTGGATTGTGCTCTTTAGTAAGTAGTTTATGTTAAGATTCATAGTTTCTCATTTTCTGCTCCTCGTTTAACAATTTAATTTGGTAATTTTGTATTATTCGAATGAATTCAATAGCAAGCTAACATGTAAGATACGCTTGCAAATATGCATATTTAGCAATATTTAATATGTCATCAAATTTGTCTCAATAATTATTAAATTGGATGTCAATAAAGTTATTCCCAATATTTTTCTTACTTTCAAATGGAAAAGGTTTCAAAACGTTTCTCGAGTGTATATCCTCCAGCTCATGCTGCAAAACCAGTCAAGTCATCATCGAAGTTTCACATACTTATGGGCTTTACTTGCATTATTATTGTTATTTTGGTGGTTATAATTATACATTGTGTAGTGTAGTGTATTTTCATAGTCTTCTTCTTCTTCTTTCCTTTTTCAAATTGCAACTAAGAAGTAACTGCATACATATTTAATATATATATATATATATATTAATAAATATATATAGAGAATAACAGGAAATGGTACATATATATATATATTGTAGCATATTCAAATAACTTGTATCGATAGTGAAAACTATAGTAACTCAATGTGTATAGGTGATGCTGTATATGCTGTATAGGTGATGCTGATGCTAATGCTGATGCAGTTGAGTATATTTTTATGTATTTCTATGCTTATGTTCATTCCCTCATGAAACCAGGAAACTTCGGAGGCAGAAAAAGACAGTTTGCCTATAGTTTAAGTGTAGTATGATAAATACTCTGAACGCCGCTTGATCTGCGTAGTGTGTGTGTGTGTGTGTGTGTGTGTGTATGTGTGTGTGCGCGTGTGTGGATTTATTTTAAATCCAATTCATCCTCCTCTTCAGACTTGGGGTTCCATCGTTTACTTGTTGAGTTTATGCTGCTAATGCTGCCCGAATCGCTATAGTCGCTGAAGGCCGCATTCTGTATGCCCTCATAGATCTTATAGGTGGAGCTGGCTCCAACGCCGCTCGAGCTCATGCTCATGCTTTTGGCAGCGCCAAAACGATCGCTTTTATAGTTGGAGGGCGGACCACCGAAGATCATGTCCGCGTCAGAGATGGAACCGCCGGAGCGCGTGTATTTGCCATTGCCTGGACTAGAGGTCGTTGTCTTGCCGTCCCCGAATATGATGTCCAAGTCGGATTGCTTCGATGCTGTAAATACAGATACAAGTTAATAACGGCATTCAACATCAACTTCTAGATGCACATCAATTTTGCGTGGGTGCAGTTGAGAGCCAATTCTAGCGCGCTTAACACTAGCACTACTTATGCCAATTGCTTACACACTGATTAACGTGATATGTATGAAAGATGACAGAATGAGCGTTACCAAAAATGCGTCCACAAGTGATGCACATATGACAGTGAATATGAGGTATCTTAGGGAATAAAGTATAAGTCATCCAAGAGCCTCTACTCAAACGTAGTTCGTAATGAGTGTGCATGCGTAACTCAAATGAATTATGAATCATGAAATGAATCAATTTGGGGTTCAGTTAATAAAACCTACATGCATACATACATACATACAAGAAGGTATGTACTTATGTATGCATCTCTGTTTGGGGCCAGTCTATGTAATTGAACTTTTTTGAACTTTTGATAACTCTGCATTTGCTTTCTTTACTCTATAGTACACACTCACACTTACATACATACATATAGAGAACGTTGAAGATAAATTATAGATAAAAACAGAAACAGTTGCAAATACATCTATTGAATTTTGGACTACTTGAAGCGACTGCAGATTGTACTTGTTGTTGCTTTTGTAGTGTCTAGTGTGGGCGTGTCTTTGTGCGTGCCGAGAAAGCCAGAAAATAACTGAGTTTGCGGTGCGGTCTATCGAGTAGTTACTGTACGGCAGAGTTCCTGTTGGTTGTGGCATGTGTTTCGAGTTAGCTGTGTTTGTGAACATTCGTGCGTGCAGGCAAGCGAATAGCAGCACTGGCGAGTGGCGAACTTACAAACAGTTTGCGGCGCACACGTCGTATACGTTATGTTTGGCTTACACTTCTAAAGTTGGCTATCAATGAAGAAAATCAATGAAGATTACACAGTGGCACCTAATTTTCTTTGGCTAACGCTTGATTCGCTCTCTACTTGGCTAAAGGGGTTGTTATCGATTACATCTTAACTTGGTCGCTGCTAAACTCGCATTATATATGTAATCTCGGCATATATGTAAAAATATGTGAGTATGTAAGTATATAAGTATGGTATGTATGTATGTGTCATAGGTTATTGTGAGAGTATTGGTTAGTTGCGTTGATATTACTGCTGATGCTGATGTTGATGCTGATGCTATTACTGTTACTGTTACTGGTACTGATGTGAGATTTAATGACAATGGATATGAGCGCAGTTCAATATATATTTGGCAGCCTAGCAGTCTAGGTCTTGCGCAGCGTAAGGCTGACCAGCAGCACGCCCACCGCTAGATAATTACCATTGCTCTCGGAGCGTGAGTAAGAGGGCCGCGTGTACGAGGGCAGATCGCTGGGATTATTGTAGCCGGCCTGCGAGGCCAACGAATTGGAATCGTAGCCGGAGGTGTCACCAGGCAGAGCCGCTGTGGTTACAGCAGCCGGCGCACTGTAAACACTGGCCGATCTTATGCCAATAGCCGTGCGCCAATCATTGTTGGAGGCCGAACTGGTTATGGCAGCGGCGCCAACGGCACCCGTGCTAATCGCCGTAATACCGCTGGCCTCTCCGGCGCCTGTGGCCGTGGCAGCTGTGTTTGTGGTGTTAGTGTCCATGCGCGTTATGGTCTCAATAGAACTAGTGCTGTCGTAGTTGCCGTAGCTGGTCTTGTCCTTGCTGAGTGAGCTGCTGAAGCTGCTGCGATAGGCGCTGGCGCTGACGCTGGAGCTGTTCGTATTCGTGTTGATGTTGGCATTGGAGCTCACATTGGGCGGCGGTGGTGGCGGCCCAGTTGGTGGTGGCGGTGACTTGATGGGGTTGCCATTCCGATTGATGCGTGACGAAATCGAAGACGAGGATATTGATGATGAAGATGAGGTTGTATTCGAGGCAGCGCCAATGCTAGCGATGCTAACTGACTTGTGTGGCTCCTTGTCGAATGGATTGACGCGTTCCTGTGGCTCAAAGTTGGTTACTGGCTGGTAGCCGCCAGTTGTTGTAGGGTTATCCGTAGTTGTATTGACGCTATCCGAAACGCTGGCAGCGAGCTTAGCGGTTGAGCTGACCGCTGATGTTGCTGCTGCTGGCTCATCCAGCGGTCGGCTGGGCTGTGTAGAGATCACATCCGTGCCGCTAGATTTGCCGCCCGAGGCGAACGAGAACTGCTTTCCCAGAAAAGAGCCGCTGAAGGCACTGCCTCCGCTGCTGGTGGGTCCAGCGCTGCTGGGCACGCTGCCCAAGCCGCTGCTGTTACTTGTCTCGCTCGCCGTTCTGCCGCGTTTCTTATTAGCGATTTCCTACATGTCACCAAAGATCCCCGCAAATGTCTTCCTCAGGTTCTTCATGGTGTCCTCCGCATCCTCAACGACAGAGGTCTGAGTTTGCGGAGGACGCTGTCCGACCCTGGACACCGACGAGATGCTTGATGCCTGCGACGTTTGCGAATCGCGGCGCACGCCACCCACTGTGCTGGGCACCGACGAGGAAGGCTCCTCTGGCAGCTCTGAAATGCTGCTGCGGCTGCTCAGCCGCCCAATGGAGCCCACCGCCGGAGAGGTGCGTTCCGGAATCGGCGGTGGTCCGCCCATCGGGGCTGGCCTGGGCCCGGCGGGCAGCGGCGGTGTCGGTGCTAGGTCATCAGTAGGACTCTCGGCGCGAGAAGAGACCGATGATCGTGATGGCAACTTAGCAGGTCCAGTCTGTGCCATACTGGGACGGCAGACATTCTGTATGGTGTGTACAAGCTGTAAGTAAGCGCTCAAACGTTGTTCTGGTATCTGAACTCACCTGCATGCGTCCTGACACCAGATCGGCTATCTGCCTGCGATCTTCCTCCTGGCTGTCGCCAATTAGAGCGAAGGTGCTATCACAGGCACTAATAATGTACTCGCGTCCATCTTTGCCTACCACCACTGAGACGCCGCACACCTCCATGCCGCCAAACAGCTCCGATATCTGTGAATAAAGCGATATATAGTATGTATGTATATTTAGAAGTGACTGTACATAGCTTGATTGCATCAAAATTATAATCTGTTTTCGATTTCATGCACAGTTCACAGTTCTTGTTCTGTGTGGGCTGCTGTTGCAGTTGTTACTTATTTTGCGTTTGTTGTACTCTGTTTCGCAAGGTAACGAGTATATTGGCTTAATGCGAAGTATCACTTGTCCCCTTTCGCTGTGCGAATTGCAAACATTCATATGTTTTTCATGCCAATACCTTCAGAGAAAATTTCCTATCTCCCATAATATTTAAAATTAGTTAACAAGATCGACTTTTTTTGGCACATCGAATATAAAGTACTCTTATATATGTCTATACATGATAAGGAATGCTTTTATAATAGATAACTGCCACGCCCACATTTGCACCCATTATTTAGAGACTGTAATTACGGTGAGCACAGAGTATCGCGCAGTCGGGAGATTGCAGCTGCAACGTTTTTACTGGTTGTTGTTGCAGTTGCTCTCGCCAGCTTTTGGTTTTAATTACAAACACAGTTTGTTTTGATTAGGGGTTTGTTTTGATTAGCTTAGAACTGTGGGCATCAGATCTCTGATGAGGTATACGGCCACCCACCTAAAAGCTCATAACTGAACTGCCGCGATGCCTGGCAGCTTATCTAAGCAATGTGCAAATAGCTGAGTTCTATGCCATTTATGGCAATGATAAAATGCCGCAATTGATGGCATTCTCATGTTTCACAGTAATTATTGCGGTACTCGTTGTACCCGTTGCATCATAACTAATTCGCGTAGTATCTAAGTGCACTCTGTTTACGCTAATGCGCTTTGCATATTCATGAATGTTCGAATTATTCGAAGCAAACGCCGGCTCTCGATCGGCTTGTGGGGCCCAACACCGCCCAGGGTTAAAACCCACCGAAACCAAATTGTGAGCCCAAAATGTGCCGCAAATAATTCAAGTCGATTTTGCAGCTATTTTGATTGGCAACGTTTGATAAATGTGCGCTTCGCTCTGGGCTGCCTTTCAGATACATGCTCATGCACAATGCGGCTTAAGCGTTCAGTGTTTGCTCTATAAATGGGCATATCAGCTTTCTGATCAGGCCGCCAAAACATAGAAGACTGCATATACATACATATTGGCTAAACAATAAAATGGTGAAGAAGAGTATGTAGCCAGGCATTAAGTATATTATCATAATTTTATGGAGCAACTTTTTGTACTATGGTATCCAGGCTGATATGCTCCTGCTTGACCCTTTTCTTCAATTCTTAGCAATAATTTTCTTTTTCAGAATGACATTATGCAAGGTTTTTTCATAGATCTCAATCCGAAAATCGTACTTTATTACCATCCCTTAAAATGATTGTGCTTTGCTGTTAGTGTATTTAAAGTTCGAAGCTTTCGAATTGGTTTGGATCTGATATTTGGCATACTGTTTCAAGTCAGCCAGCCGAATTGTGAGACTTACCTCATCCACCCAGGTTTTGTACTTCTCGGTTAAAGTGATTTGCTCGAGCATGGCTGAGCCTTGATTGGTCTTCCAATTTCCAGTGATGGATTTGCGCCTGTAACAGAGAGCGTCAAGCATGAAAACATAATAAATTAGTCGAAAAAGCGTAGATAATGTGCAGAAGCAGACGATTTGCATTGGGGGTACTTTGAACTCGCGGCGAACTCGAATTTCGTGAACCCAGACAATGAACTGCACTTGGTAGATAATTGCCAATTGGGCTGCATTTAGGTTCCTTTTGTTTGCTGACAGTTGCAGCTAAGCCCAAGGTCAATTGGCAGGCAGCGGCACATGCACTCGACCTTATACCCATCAAGATCGACATCAACATCGACATCGACATCGACATCGACGTCGCCATCTACATTGATATCAAGTCTTTCAGCTTTTAGCGTTGCGTTGCCGGGGCCTGTCTGCGGCTTGTGGTCTGGACATGTGGTCACTTACATAAATGCCTTGTAGTTGTTGCCAATCTTTTGAATGTGCACGCTGAACTTGGCATCGATGTAGGGCTCGATGGTGCAATAACAATGCGAATCGTTTCCAGCGCCGCTAACAAGTCCGGCGGCATCTTGCAACGCGCTCTGATTCTCCAGACGGGCCGTGGCCACTCCGCCATGGCAATGTCCAGCCTTCAGTACGCTGGGGAACTTGGTGAATTGGAACTGCAGTGATAAAAAGCAGCGAGGTCTAAAGTTAAGACTGATTGCAAATATATATGAAATAAAGTATAAAGTATTGATGATACTTTGTTTGTTGTTGGTTTTTCTTTCATTTGCTGAGAAAATTTGTTGGAAGAGCGCCAAAATCGGTTTGCGGGTCGGTATTTATTTTTGCTTGACTTCCGATTTCTATTTTGCTTATTGAATTAGTTTAAGTATTATAGTATATACGATATTAAACGTCTGGGTGGAAATGTTGCTGAATGTGCGCCAAAGTTTTTTGGCTCAAAAAGCAACTTTCCACGAATTTGTTATTTTCTAATTGAAAACTTGTTAGTCAAAATCGATATTAATAAAACAATAGAATATAATGCGTAGTTTATTAAATTATTTTTATATTCATTTCTAAATTAAATTTCAAACTTATGAACGTTTTTTATTTACTTATATCTATTTATAATAATTTCCAAGATCATTAAAATATTTTTAATTTTTTCTAATAGGCGCTGAAACATCACCGAGTTAATCACATATATGTTTTGGTTCACAAACCATCCCCATCCCCCCGCCCCAGCCATCTCCATCCCCATGCCCAACCCCAATATTTATCTCACAAACAGCACATAAATCATGAAGAAGCAACTGCACACATTGAAAATTTATTGAAAGCACCAAAGAAAATATCAACAAACCATAACAAATGATGACGCAGACAGAAAAATTGTCGCAATTGGCGCGAGGCACAAGAAAACGCTCAATGAATATCAATGACAAAGTCGAGCGGATGGGCGTTCTAATGGAGCTCTGTACAAATCGTGGTCACACCCCCGCATAGCAGGCATTCCTGGAAGCTGGCAGCAGCCACATACATGCGTAGTACCTCAAGTGGCTACTTGTCTGGAGGTCTTCTGGTTATATCAGCGCACTTAAAATATGCACTGTGACGCATCCACTGAAAGATATATGTATGAGTGTCAGCTGGCTGCTGGCTGCTGGCATCTACCTAGCAGCTCCCACATATTATCGTATATGCAGATTACACTCGCAGAGCAGCTTGTATTTGTAGTTGTAGGCGTAGCATGAAGCATGGCCATGCCCATGCTCAGCACGTGTGCGCGCCACATGGCCCGCCGCTTGGACCGGTCATGTAAGTGGATGTGTGTGTGGACCTGGAAGTAAGTCATAGCTATGGGGCTGGACTATAGTATAACTAAATTATTGCCTGATCTGTTGCCTGAGATGCGCCATTTCTTGGCCATGCTGTGGCATCTGTATCGGCTGGCGCTGCTGTGGCGCCAAATATGTTTGCCGCCGCGCCGAGAGCATAAACTGTGTGCCCGCACTCGCAATTAATAAAGCTGCCAAGGTAAAATAATGCGCAGAAATATGCAATTGAGCAAGCCGCTGGCCCCTGCTAACTGAAAGTCCCTCGTCTCTCGCCCCTCGTCTGTCGCTCTCACTTGTAATGAATTTATGACGCTTTTGATCGACCGGCGACGGCGACGGCGACGAAGACGGAGAAGGCGACGACGAAAGGCTCTCAAATCAGGCAGTGGCAATGGTAGCCACTTGAGTGGTGCATTGTGCGGGTGCACAAATGACTCAAGAGGCCGAAATAGCTCAAACTTATTTGAGCAGCATGCTCCCTGTTAAATTATTGACGCTTTTGATCGGCCGGCGACGGCGAAAATCTCTCAAACCCGACAGTGGCAGCAATAGCCCCTTGAGTGGTACGTTGTGCGGGTGCACAAGCGAACGACTCAAGCAGGCGAAAAAGCTCAAAGATGAGCAGCATGCTCGCTCTTTAACTGTAACGATCGCTGGCTCTCTCCCGCCACGAACCGAGGCTGGCTTGCTTCGGCTATGAAAGCACTTGAAACGGTTGAGTTCACCATTCAGTGCAGAAAAGCAGGCGCAACGAAGTAGAACGCACGAAGACGACGACGGAAACGGCAACGGCGCGGCAAAAATTATTGTGGGAAAAATTATTAAATGAAAATTCAACAATTTAAATCCGAATGTGAACAGTGAACAAATTAAGAAGATCCCGTAGTGACTTAAAAGTGTTAACTAAACAGTTTTGATGCTTAACAATTAACAAGTTACAAAATAAATTATTTAGTAAAACACGCATTCTTTGCAGTCAGCTGAAAAGTCAGGTATTATTAATTATTATTATTTTTTTTTTTACTTAAAAACATTAAGAATTTTAAAATAAAATAAATACTCAAGCAAGCAAGAAACGCGCGCGTTTTGCTTGCGTTTTTGAAACGCGCTCTGCTCTTAAAAGTGTGGCAGACGTCGAACCCGCAGTTGCAGCATCGTTGACACAGCGACACAGTTTTCCACACTCACGCACACATACATAGCTGCATTTCTTTCTATTTATTTGTGTTCGAGCATATTTTGCGTTTATTTTTAATTTGTTTTTATTTCATTCCTCTTCTCGTTTGCCCGCTTTGCCTTCGCCGCGACGCATTTATTTTTTAAATTTTGTGCTCAACTTTGTTTTTTTTTCTTAATAGTTTTTAATGTCGCCAATTTGTAAACAAAATGCAGCCATAAAATATACAAATATTTCAGTGTTGTGCAATTTGGCATCATAAATCCGTTTTTAACATATATAAACCTTAGCAACTATGTGTATTTGTACGTATTTATGTAAAGCTTTTCCAACACGCTGAAAAATGTCAAGGGAAGCTGTGTGAGGCGTTTTCATATTACGCATACGTCATGTGTCTCGCTTTTGGCATTGGCCATTTAACGACTTCAGGCCTAAAATAAGTAACACGAAATGTTTCAATTCCTCGGAATTCAGTGTCGCTGTTTTGCTAATTTATGCAACTCTGACAACAAAATGTGTTTGCATAAACATGTGTCTGTCGGCCGCAAATGCATTTTAAATATATATATATATATATATATATATATTTATATATTTTTTTTTATCAATCCTGAGTTTTTGCAATGCTCTTGTGCGTTTCCTGCACTTGAGTTGACTTTTGCTTTCGTTGGGCACACGAATAAAGTCGTTTATGCCTTAGTCAGCATTTTAATATTTTGCTATACTTTGTATTTATTCTTGGAATTGTATTCATGTAGCTCGCCCGATTTTTCATATATTGTGCCAATATATACACATCTGTTGACTTATATTTACATTTTTTCGGCGAAAGCAATTTTCTTAAGCGGCAGCTGTCTTGTTTTGTATTTCCGCCACAAAACTTGGGATTTAGGCCATACTAAATTTAATTCGTGTAAAATATACAGGAAAATACCTAGCAATTGAATTCCATAAGGTCAAGCGAATTTCCGCCTTATCAAAATCAAATAAGTCAAGGGACTAGGCTTACAGTCAGTGTGTTTAGAAACTTTCACAAAATATAAGAAGATGAATCGTGCCGAAATCGGGTTAAGTTAAATTTCACTTTTGTTGCAATTGTTCGGAATGGAAAAGGTTCGATTTTTAGTCCTTGAGCAGACGATGACTCCCGTGCTTTTGTGTGATAAACTTCCCATAAATAGTTTCTTGAAAAATTATTAATTAGCAATCGTAAATGTTCAGAAAACTGCCATTGTTCATAAGGAAATACATTTTCTAAAAAGTGTTTCCTATTAGGTTTTCACAAATTTTTGTTATTCATTAATAGATGGATACATATATCATATAAATATATACATGTACATATACAGAGAGACATATATTTGGGCACGAAAATGTGAATATTTTAAATAAAATGAAATGGCAGGAATATTCGATAGATGCTTTCACTGATATTTTTAAGATACATACTAAGCTGACCACAACTACAACGGCAAAATTCTACTCGAATAAATAGAATATTTTGATATCATTAAAAAATATTGAAGTTGACTTAGTCTAAGTGGGAATAAACTTTAACGAACTGAAGAGCAGGCTTAATTATTCTTTTATTATTTTTATTACTGAGTCAGTTGTTGCATTGTTTATCAAGCTTTTAACACGCCGAACACAATTCTTCTGCACATCGTTCAGTGTCAATTTTTTGGACACTGCACTCAGGTTCGAAAAGTCAGTAAAGTCTTTAAGGCATTTCGCCTTATACAGGGAATGATTGTTTATTATTTTACACTTGTTTGACTTTTGGCACAAGTCTGCGGCGTTGGCGACACACCCACAGCCAGTTTCGGGATTATCTGTCAGACATTCGGGTGGGTGTTGTTGGTATTGCCTGGGCAGGGGGGGAACAAGCAGGCGACCACCAGAAATCCATTAATAATTTTCTTGTGCGGCTTTGCAATTAAATATTATTGTACAATTAAAACGAAATGCTAAAGACAGCGCGACAAAGACAACCAAACCATTTATAAAGTTCGTTCGTGTAAATTTCAGACTTGCAAAATTTATTGACAATGATTTTTGTTTTTGCTGTCTGCTCTGCTGCTCATTTGTTCCCACTTCGCATTGGGCTGAAATTGGGTATGGATATGGTTATGGTATGGGAATGGGATGGGGATGGGATGGGTCTACACGGTCTGTTTGGTTTCTGTGTGGGCCAAAGGCGTGCAAATTGACGTCGCCAGCGTTTGTCAATTTGCCTGATTGTCTGTCAGTTTTTAAATTTATTAAACAAGATCTGTCAAAGCGCAAATTTACGAATGAATATGGAATTTTTATTTGAACATTTACGCAGAGCAGAACGAGCATTAAGACACTTCAATAACTCAAATGATAATTTGATGCGTTCTTTAAGAATTCCCAAAGGCTGAGTAATTTTCATAAATGCTGACAGAGGAACTCACAATTTTCAAAATTTTTAGCTTTAGTTGCCAAAAATAAAAATAATAGTAAAAACGAAGCCGTAAGCTTCAATTATTTTGATTTTATAGAATTTCGAATAGTATAAGTAAACTATGCAAAAGCATTTTCTGTTCAAAGAAAACCCCAAATGTAAGACGATTTTATCTTTTTAATTGAAATTCAATGGTTTTCAATTTTCATATCGAATCAAAGCATGACATGGATAATAGTATTGTTAATACTTATTGTAGATCTTGACTTAATTCATTAGTAATGATTCTTAGCCAAAACATATTAACTAATGAGATTTGCTTCAATTGCAAATTGGTTTAACTTTCCTGTACAAATAATGGAAAATATATTTAAATTAAAGGCAAAACAACTTAAATTCTGAATCTTTTCAAAGTTATGTTGATATTATTTATTAATATTTATTACTTGTCATTAGTGCTGCCGAGTAAAATGTGCTTTTATTAAATCAATTAAATTCTTCAAAATTCCGACATGAATATGTGCCAATTTCACGACACACTGCCTTCCATTGTTGTCTGTGCTTTGATTTCATTTTAGTAAAAAATATATAAATTTACCAGCAACATACATATGTGCATATATGCACACATTAATATCAAGAAGAAAACAGTTCTTTTGGGTACCAACATGCAGAAATGTATATTTTTATGACCTGCGATTGCAATGTGAGGCAAACTTATGTATGCCCCAGGCAAAGGCATCCATTTGGCTGGTCAAGTTTTATTTGTTCTTGGTGAACATTAGCATTTTGAATTGAATTCCTTGTTACGCATCCTGGCAAGCCTCGGGGTGCTGCGTTTTGTTTACTTTCCCAAGCCGCCGGCTCGAAATAATTTGTGTCATAATCACCGAACGAAACATTTTGATTTTTTGAAACAACAGCAGTGCAAATATGTTGAATATTGATTATTCAATGGGGAACGTCGAACGTGACGAACGCCGACACTTTAAAAACTGTGGCAATTTCACATTTTGTTTATTTACCTACCCGAAACAATCGAGCGTATTGAGTGGCCAAATATGAGAAATGCGTAAGATTTATTTTCGGCATTATGATGCCAGCATGCAAGCCACTGCAGGCTCGCTCGTATGTGGAGAATGTCTGTGTGCATAGAGAGCGTATGTATCCATATTAGGAGCAACTGCGTACACATTCACTTGAAGTTAATGATCCATTGAGCTTGAAGCAGCCAAATTTCATGTAAGGGCTGAACTGTACCGATTCGAGCCCGATATTTAATATATATTTGTCAAGCAAACATAAAACTCGACCCAAGCCGAAACCCAAAGCGAACCATATAATCTTATACCCTGGACGCATAGAATATGGTTTAAAATGATATAATATGCATCAACAAAAGAGAGCTAGAGACTTGATTCTCCTATACTAAACGCAGGATGAGTTCAGATTTCATTTTATCGATAGCTAGTCCCATTTTCATAATATCTACAACAGTCGATATTAGGAATTGATTTTATAAGCTAAACTCAGAAAGTAGAAGAGCTAGGCCACCAAATGTAGCATTTATCGATCGAATAGAATATTACGCTTAGGTTCCATATTTGGAGTCTTCAAATTTTCATATGTATTTTAAGAATGTTATGATATTTACTATAGTTTAGAATAGTATGCAACCATCTGTCTTGATGGATAACGAAAAAATAAACAGACAGCATTTAATAAGTATTAGTTTCAAGTGAAATTTAGTTGCAGGTAAACCAATTAAGAGGCTCTAGGCGACAGTTTCCGTTTAACCCTTTTTGAAAATGATTCAAATCTTCAGCTATTAAATCAAGGCTGCACACATATGCAAAACCAAGTTCACGATTCGAAGCTAAAGCTGGAGAGCTGGTTCGCACCGTAAACTAAACCAAACACAACTTTTTTGGGCGCTTGCAGTTGTGGTCAAACATAATTGTAACGACTTTTGAACCGGCACATGACTGGGTTTTGGCAGCGATTTTCAAATAAATGACAGTTGCGAGCGCTTTGTACTGGCGCCGCCTTGTCAAGATCACGTCACGCTAGAATGGAGCCGTCAAGCTCGGATGCAGTTGCAGTTGCAGCTGCTACTGCTGCCGTTGTTGTTGTTGCTGTTGGTAATGCGTCAGTCGCAGTCAAAATTCAATTAGCAAACGAGGACTGACATTAACATGTCTTATCAGCTAGGCATTTATACTAACTAACAGGTGTCTATCTGTCTATCTGAATGCCTGAAGTCAATCGCGAGAGTAAAACGTTTATGTATTTGGCAATCACACGATTCGTAGCAGCAACCACATTTGCATGTCAAAGTTCAGCTGAGAAACGGCTTGCCAATGAACATTAATCAAAGTAAACATATT